CAGTCTGAAAGGATACATTCCAACACATTAATAATGATTTTCTCTGGGAAGTGAAAATGTTAAGAAATGTTAAGAACTACCATATTTTACCCTCCCCCCATTGAAATTTTAAAACTATTATCTTGTAGTTGAAAAGCATGAAGGAAAAAAGAGACAGTTGAGCACAGAAAGGAATAAATACTTAAATCTTCAAAGCATCATTATATAAAATCTCCATTTATAATGTGCATTATTTATCTTAAGATACATCTATATGTATTAGTTTTATTCATTTTATGAAGGCTGCCCCAACATTACATATATATCAATAGAAAGGCTATCAGATGGCATATAAAGAATAATATGCACAAATACAACCTAGATTTAAAACTGTCCTTCACACATTTGAAAATAAAACATAAAAATGCAATAATAATATTCACGTTCAAGGTCATAAAAAATTAAACATCTGAATCTCAAATGTGATTCTGGAAAATCTCAAGGCACTTATAGACATCAAGAGGTGTTATGGGGCTTGGGTTACAGTTAGTGGTGAAGCATTTGCTTGTAAGCATGCACAAGGCCCTGGATTTGGTCCTCAGTGCTACCAAAAAAAGAAGGAAAAAAAGTATTACAAAATAATAAAATTACAAAGCATCGTGTATTTTTTATTTTTGATACTGGGGATTGAACCAATATCAAAATTATTAGTAAACTAATTCCATTTAAATAACTCCAAATGACATATTCTGTTTTTCACCTTAAACCTGTCTTTACCTCTTGGGAAAACAAAACAAAACTAGAAACAATGAAATATAATACTAAGAAAAAAGAAACTAGCCTCATATTTTTGGTGCATCATGTACCAACCATCATATTTACCATGAAAACACACACACACACACACACACACACGCACACAAACTGATCTACAAGAAATTTTGGTAACATATTTTGCAAAGCTAGAATTGGGATCATGCAAGTACTATTTGAAGATGATGGTCTATAAAAAATTAAGTTCAGTGGTCTAAAAAAAAACAGATTAAAACATGTGATATATTATAGGTAGAATCAGTTTATTTTATTTTATACCACCATGTAATTCAAAACGACTAGTTCCATGAATGGTTTATATAGAGTAAAAGACCGATGCACTTACTCATTGTTTTGTTGACATATATAACAGACAAATTCTATTCAATGAACATTCTATTTAAAAGCAAAAGAAGGAATAAAATATGTTCCTGGCTATTACACAGTCAGCCTATTTAATGAAGACATATAATTTCTATATATACATATGACAATGAGGTTTTCTAAAATACTATGTACGTCATATATTGTGGTTTTGTAATTTTTATGTCTGTAGAAAAGAAGGCTGGCAATGTGTTGATGAAAACTATAAAAGTATAAGAACTCCATCAGTGGAGATACTGCAAGTAAGTTTATAGAGGGTAAGGCCTGTGTCTCATTCATAATTGTACCTCCAGTATGGTCTTGAGCTCATAGCATACATCTATTTTGCTGAAACAATGTACATTCATCCATTCAGCAAGCATTTACTTGGTACCTACTTTAGTCCTAGGTCTTCTCCTAGGTAATAATATTCATTAGTGAATAAAAGACTTTATGATATTTTGTGGACTTTATGATCTTGTGAGGGAAGCAAATAAATAATTAAACCAACAAATAAGATCATTAAAACTTGTGATAGGTGCTATAAGGGAAATGAAAACGGTATAGAAATAGAGGTAACCTACTTTGAATAATCAGCAAAGGTCTCTCTCAAATCCTAAGAAGGAGTCAGGGGTGGTGGCAAAATGCCTGTAATCCCAGTGACCTGGGAGGCTGAGGCAGGAAGGATAGAAAATTCAAGGCCAGCATGGGCAGCTTAGTGAGACCCTGGCCAAAAAAAAAAAAAGGGATTGGGGTATAGCTTGGTAGCACAGCACACCTGGATCCTGAGTTCAATCTCTAGTACCACAATAAAACAAAAACATCTTAGAGGGGAATATTTATTTAAATCCTAACCCTAAATGACAGGGAGCCCACAATTTGAACAGTATAAAGCTTGATAAACTATTTTCTACATTAACACAGAGGCAGCTTATTTCACATTTATTAATTCACAAAGCAATTTCTACATTTCAAAATTTGCAATTTTCTAGTCTTTTCTAAATTTTCGAAAACACCAAAAGTTCCCCTGTACTCTTTCTATACAGTTGTGTGTATGTAATTATCCCCAAATTGACATTTTTATAAACATATCTTTTTATTAAGAATATCTTCTAGGAGTGCTGGGGTGAGTGCTAGCATGTGTGAAGCACTGAGTTCAATCCCTAGCACCACATATAAATAAAAAAATATATATATATTTAAAATAATATTTCTATATAATTCATAGTTATAAGAAAATTCGAGGGATAAAAACAATATTGAGAAAGGGAGAGGCACTGTCTTAGTACTTTAAAGCAGAAAATCTCTCAAGTGGTACTGCTATAAAATTAAAACATGTTTACATTCAAATTATTTTGTGTTGACAATGGAAGTAGAAGATATAAAGAAATTGTGGATTTGTGGACAGCAACTTAAAATACTACAGGTGAAGAGGGAAGGGATCAGAACAGAAAGACATTATCTTGGTAAACTCATATCAGTTCATGGTCTAGTTCTCAGATTTTCAGGTCCAGGAAGCTCACACCACATTCAAAAAAGGTAAATAGGAGTTGGGGTTGTGGCTCAGTGATGGAGCATTTGCCTAGCATGTGTGAGGCACTGGATTAGATCTTCAGCACCATATATAAATAAATAAAATAAAGGCCCATCTACAACTAAAAGAAAAAAAAAAGGTAACTAAAAGTAGAATTACATTTTTGTAATTTTCATTGTGAAATATATTATCCTGGGGCTGGGATTGTGGCTCAGCGGTAGAGCGCTTGCCTAGCACGAGCGGAACCCCGGGTTCGATGCTGAGCACCACATAAAAATAAAGGCATTGTGTTGTGTCCATCTACACCTAAAAAAATAAATATTAAAAACAAACAAAAAAAGAAATATATTATCCTGCTGCTCCAGTATTCAAGACTAATGATCATAATCCCACCCATGCCAATTTATTAATCCACAATGGAGAACATAGCCTTCTAAAGATAATCTTTATCTGCACTCTCACCTGTACATTACAATTTATTATCAGGAAACTAAGTGAATAAAAATAAATCGTTCATGAATATGGAATCAGGCAAAGAGATTGAGATTTCTCAGAGGCCATGGCAGGACTGATATAATATTCCTGTCCTTCAGCAAAGATTACCTTGCTAGTTACCAGAATTATCATGAACCCCAGATGATGTATCTTTTTCCTTTGTACAGCAGTGTATAAACATTGCCAAATTCTGCTTTTCAGACTCTTTTTCAATGTTCAGTGCTGACCATCCATTCCATTTCTGCAGATACAGCCTTTCTTTAGATGAGTTAATGTCACCTATTGAATTCAATCAAAACTGCTGGGCAATATAGTAGGAAGTGAATATACAAGGTTAGATAAGATATGAGCCACATTCTCAGGAGTTCATCTTGTATTGAGGAAGACCATCTCTTCCCTGTTTTTGACTAGGGAGAATGCCAGTCTTTTAAAATGCCTTCTGCATGTATGTAGTTTTATCCATTTTTTTAATGGATGTTATTTAAAATTTTATAGAGTTCTAGGAATACTTCACTATTGCCCTTACATACAAACTTCAAAGGGTATTTTGTATAAAGAGGCAACTTAAGTACTGAGGAATTAAGTAGTTTGCCTGAAATCACTAAGTTAATAAGTAGTGGAGCCAACATTCAAATTCTAGGTCTGTCTCCAAAGATCACATCATCTTTCCTCTATTCCCATGCAGCTTCTAAGAAACTAAAAACTTTTAAAAGAGACAGAAATATGTAAACAGCTTAGGACAAGTCCTTATATATACTCCAATTCAATTACTATGTCTACCGAACTAAAATCAACAATATCAAGTTATAAATTTGTGCAGAGTTTGTAGATCTCCCACTAACTAATGAGTCCCCAAATTTAATAATCCAGGAAAAAATAATCTTCATTTTAGCAGGTCAAGGCCAATTCACTGCTATTTAGCACTCTTAAAAAACACAATCAAAACCCAGATCCCCCTTCTAGTTGAAAGCTCTAATTTTAGCAAAAATAAGACTGTTCTAACATCTAAAATATTTAGATTTTACTTTATACTTTAAAAGACTCAGTAAAGCATATTAACAGTGACTTAAAAACAAAGACTAAGCAAATACAGATAATGTGAAAGGTGCACCACTGAACAGTATCCCAAATCATCTAAAGCTTTAAATTACATATTTGGATGATATTTTCCTTTATGTTGCATTTTTAAAAAGAAATACTTCTTAGCCCCATTAACATCTATCTATTTCTTATGTTTCTCATGAGCTATGATAGTTCATTATAATAGATAGTAAAGATTCACTCAGCACTAAAATTACCTAAACACATATCAAATGAACACATAAGAAAACTGTAGTGAATTAGGAAAGAGAACAGGAAACAGAAGAGAGAGACTCTTAGAAAGGAGTGCAGCAAATATAAACACCAGAAACTGCAATTCATCAAGCAGGAAGTCCTAGTCACATGACAGGCAGGAAAATGAAATTTAAAAATAAATGAAAAATGAACAAGATGGAAAGTCCAAAGAGAGCTTAGAGGAAAAAAATGAAAAGGCTTTAAATAGATACATTAAAAATCCATTTTTTAAAAAGAAAAGCTACTGTAAAAACAAGATATATTTAAATAACCTGGTGACAGTTGAGGAATTACTTTCACTTTGTAGTTATTTTCCTTATAGTCACTCAATAATCATGTTAAACATCTACAATCAAAATCACTAAACAATTTTTCTCTGAAAATTGATAATCAAATATTTACAGTAACCACAGATTTTTTTTCTCCAAAGTAACATTACATTCACGATTTTAAAATACCATTTGAGTTAAATTGATCTTACCCATTAATGTTGCTAAAAGACATAAGGAGTACATCTCTTTGTCAGCTTGCTCTTGAAGTTCCTTAGATGACAGTTTACCAGTAACAGCAATCTCTTCTTGTTTCACAGTGTGGGCAGAGTGTGCTGCAGCAGACTGACCACCTTCTGCTTTGCTTTTTAGAATCTCTATTGTGATTCTGTCACCGTGCTGTAAAGGAACTGGCTCCTTTTCCATTCCTGCCTGTGGTGGCATTAACTCTTTAGGAGGAAAGCCATAGCGAATACACTGTAAATATGGAGGAATGTTGAATTCTCTGGCTATACTTTCCTGAAGTTCATAAAAGGTTGTTGAAGACTTAAGTGTAACCATGGACTGTCTTCCGTCGTTAGTTGTTATTCGAATCTTCTTCTCCTTGGAAGTTGTAGGTGAATAGGGAGCCTTGGTAGGGGTGGCAGGTGCAGAGGATGGCCCATCACGAATGGCACTGGGAGAAACAGTTCTGGGCTGCCCCTTTTGTTCTTGTTTTAACTTCTCTGTTTTCCGTTTCTGCATTGCAGAAGCCTGTTCCGTAATATTCTGTTGAATAGTTCTTTCAGTTTTACTCATATTTAATTCTTCCTTGTGCAAAGTTTTTGTTTTCTGTCCAGTAAGAATAATTTTAGTTGGAAGCTGAGATTCTGATTCTTGTCCTTGCACATCTCCGACTCTTTGGGCATGAGCACCATCTATATTTACAGGAGTATAATCATCAGGATTCTTTTTGGCAGTCTGATGCAATATGGTGTGGACAACTTTCTGAACGAGGATTTCACTCCCAAATTCACCTGGAAAATGCTTGGTAACAAGTTTCATTGCAACGTCATAAACATTACTATTCAGAGATGGATCACTTTCATATTGAAACCAGTACACTGTTTCTCTGACCACTCTTCCTCCCCATTCCAAAGTGATAGGGAAAGCTTCTGGCAGATTGTCATACTCTTTACCATCCCAAAAGTGTTTGAATCCACAACCACATTTGCCACCAGTGGACCTAGAATTAGTTCTGTCTCCATCCAAATACACAATAGATCCATCTCCTCTGACTCTTCGCACAGATGTGCCATGGCACCAATTACAAGCCGTTAGGTTACTCAACCCATAGTCTGGTACCAGAACATCTTTCACTGAATCATATGAGCAAACCAAATTGTTCAAGGGAAAGCTATAATTTTTGTCAGGCCTCAGCTGTCCATGAGTACTTTTTGCCAAGTTATACAGTTTCCCTCCTGGAGCCAACCACTCTGGAGGAACATGAAGTTCAGAAAGGGCACCACAGAGCAAACATTTGTGAAGGCGATTATCCATTACTGCCTTTTTAGCAGCTGCTGTAACCTCTTCAGGCTGAACTCCTATCACTCCTGTCCTTCTATAGAAATACTGATGGACATCAGCAACTAAACTAGGATGGATACCATGTTTATCCATAAAGACTTCTTCCATAGCAGCAACAAGCCTAAGTAAGTATTTATCTTGCAAACTTCTGTCACCTCCAATAACACAACCACCATCTTCCTCGAGTTTGATGTACTTTTTAATAAGGTCCTGAGGCACACCCCATGCTTTAGGAAGCAAATTCATAGGCAGTTTGGGCAGAGCAGCCCCTTTTATGCCTACCAAGGGAATATAATGGTTTCTACCAGAGCTACTCCATGCAATACAGATTGGTTTGTTCAAATGACCATCTCTTCCAGTGCACTTCTCTGCAGGTATGAGCCCAGGCAAAAAGGTGGCTGAATAATCACCAGAGCTTCTCATGCCACTAAGGGAATCTAACAGAATTATGGGACGATGCAACACATTAGCAAGGCCAAATATGTGGATGTTCCTCAAACCTAAGGGAACACCCTCAGGTGGCACAAACAGAGGATCACACTCATTGATAATGTCCTCCCACTCAGCGGCATCGATAAAGTCATGAAACAGGGCTTGATATCGGGCCAGGTGTTGCTGAAAGTGCTGTTTTAGATTCTCTCTCAGGGCATGCCAGAAGAGCTCCCGGCCTACTAGAGCTCGAGACACAGCATGCACCAGGCAGTGTCCATCCCCGTCCACATGCACTGGAATGAGGCATTCCTGACTTTTATTGGCTCGTTTGATATCCTCAAGAGTGTCATGCAAATATAGAAGGCTTCCTGAGCGGTCCTTGCCATAGCCCACCGTGTTAACGTGCTCTGGTTCTATAAGGAAAGCGCGGTCACCCAGTAAAGCGCAATCGAACAGTTCACCCTGGTTCATATCCCGGAGAAGCTTGGCTCGGCCTGTCTGTTTGTCCATTCCATAGCGAGCTAATATGGGCGACAACAATTTACAGTGGTAGTTGGAAAGGCCCATCACCTTTACCAGTTCCGTGTTCTTCTTGGGTGCTCCCGTCACCCCGAGCAGAGCGTTCCGCAGCAGGTTGTGCAGCACTACGTCCGGATCGGTCACCTCCTCCACCCCCAGCAGCTGTTGCTGCTCGTGCCGCTGTCCGCACTCGGTACACTCGATGCTGACAGTACCGGAGGCCGGGAAGAACAGACGCGCCTGGCACTTCGGATCCGGGCAGCTCCCGGAAAGGATTCTCCGGTCTCTCCGCTTCGAGAGCCCCCCTGGAGCAGCTGCCGCCGCCGCCGCCAAAGACGACGGAGTCTGCGGAGCCTCAGGGGGAGGAGGTGGCGGCGGCAGCGGAGGCGGCGGCGGCGGCTGAGACATAGCTCTCGGCTCTCGTGTCTCGCTCCGCGTCCCAAGCGACCCTCAAAGGCTCATAGCCTAGACCCCACCGGCCCGACTCGATCTAGTCCAGGCCCAGGGCGAATCAGTTTCCTTTCCCTACCAGCTCCTCCTCCTCCTAAGCGAAGGCGGAAGCGCCGGACGTTGTTTCTCTTCTTACTTCTCACTGCCGTAGCCGTTGCCCCGAACGTAACGGCCACCACCCCACCCCGCACTCAACACTCACTCACTCTCGCTCTCTCCGCCTCAGACAGACATACACGCCCTCATTGAGAGTGCGCAGGCGCAGCTTCCGCTCTGCCTTCTGGGAATTAGAGTCTTCCGGCCGCTCTTGGCCTTCGAGTGTTAAGGATCTTTCTTTCAGAAGGAACTACAAATACGGTGATGCCACGCGGTTCAGAGCCCACGGAGAGAAGGAAGAGGAAGGCAATAGGAAGCGGGTGCAAAAAGGAAGATGGTGTCTCGCTTGGCCTGCCGGGAATTGTAGTTTTAACTGGATCTCCTTTGTGGTCCTCCCTACTCTACTGGCCTAGGCGAAAGTCAGAAAGACCACATTTCCTAGGGTTCCCCGCGGTGCGTCCAGCCTCACTTCCTCTTTGGGCAGAGGTGAGGATGCAGGGAAGCTTGGTAAAAACAGAGTTTAAGGGATTGAGTGTTAAAACGAGGGGTGTGAAGTTCAGGACTACTAGAAGGGGAGGAGGATGGAAAGGCCTTCAGTGAAAAAAATACAGTAAATAAATGCCCAGGGATATAGAGCGCCTGGAGGTTGAATGAAATGGTTTAGTCCGGTCTGGATATCATAAAGGGTGTGAGTGGAGGTGGGGATAGTGGATTGAGTCGCAGAGTGCCTTTCAGGGTCTTTTTTTTTTTTTCTTCCCCTCCTCCTTTTTTTTTCCTGCCCCTCCTCTCTATTCTGGTTCCCACAGCTGTTCTAAGCCACCGAAGCACTTGAACTCCCTTTTCTGCCTTTTTCCTTTTCTCCAGTGGAATTCGCCTAGGCGCCATTTGGCTTCTCATACCCTGTACGTCTTTACAGTTTATAGTAAAAATAATACTTTGGATGTGTGTAGCGTTTTAAATACACATGCAAGATCTTTTAACTGTAAATATAATTTCGTTTTTTTCTTAAAGCCTTCTGCACCAGAGTCTATAAGGTTACTGATTTGCCCCTAGTAATTGTTATCAATTTTCTTCAAAATAAATTCTGTGTTTGAAAGAGAAATCCTTCAAGTACTAATTATTTTCTCCCCAATTTTCCCTGCCCCATGCAAAATAATGTTTGTTTCATAATGTACCCTTATAATACATAAGATCGGTGATATTACAACTTTGAAGGGGACATTTTTCAATAAAAGGTTTTTTGCAAATAATTAATTCAGGCTGGAAGAGTTGTTTGTTTTTTATTCTGAAGTTAGTTTGCTTGTAATGACATAGGTTTATCTTGGAGCTAATTTTTAATTGAATGCTTATAAAATTGGATGTGCCCTGTACGTGGAAGGTTTTTGTTTTTGTTTCTGTGGCTAAGTTATACCTGCAGTAAAGTTTCATTTTTCTCACCCACAGTGCAAAGAACTGAATTACTAAAGCCTTGGAGCATTACAACAGTTTGGAGTTCTAACACTGTTATGCACTTTTATATCATAAACAAACAAAAAAATAATTCCTTATCTGAGATTCTGGTGAAGTTTAGGGGTGTAGTTCAGCGATAGAGCCCTTGCCTAGCAAAGCTACAGGTTATGCCTTCACACAATAGTTCCCAAACTTTAACAAGCTTCAGAATCAAATGGAAGGCTTATAAAACCACAGGTTGCTGGGTTCCACTTCCACCCCACCCAAGACGGAGATGCTGAGAATTTACATTTCTAGCAAGCTCTCTGATGCTGATGCAGCTGGTCCAAGGATCACACTTTGAAAATCAGTGCTTATTTGGTTGCCCACACTATGTAGGGGAAGATCTCATTACTGTGTTTCTGTCATTTTAAGTACAAAAGGACTTGCTTATACAGAATGTTTAGGAAAAAGTTTCTTTTAAAAAGGGAGGTTGAAATTACTTGTAATCATTTAACTTTGGGGGGAAGGGGAGATGAGTGCTGGGAATTAAACTCAGGACTTTGCGCATGCTAGGCAAGCACACTACCACTTAGCTACATCTCCAGCCCAATATTTTTGATGAATCATTCAAATAATTCAAGCTTTTCTTCTATGCATATATAGTATGTGCTCTTTAAAAAATTTTTTTTAGTTGTAGATGGACACAATACCTTTGTTTTATTTATTTATTTTTATGTGGTGCTGAGGATTGAACCCAGTACGAGGCAGGCACTCTACCACTGGGTACCACTAGGTTTAAATTACTACCTGTGTGTATTACCCAGCCCTCACTCTTTTAAGAAACCAAAATTGGTCCAGTGCAGTGGTCCACACCTATAATCCCAAAGACTGGGAGGGGGGGTTATGGGAGGGGTGAGGTAGGAGGATTGCAAATTTGAGGCCAGTCTCAGCAACTAATTGAGGTCCTGTCTCAAAAAGTAAAAAGGGCTGGGAATGTGGCTTATGGTGAAGTGCCTCTGGGTTCAACCCCTAGTACTGGTCTGCGAAGGGTGGGGTGGAGGGGGCGCAATACCAAAATTATATGAAGGTCTTAATAGCTGTTAACATCTATTCATCATCTACTGTGTACCAGGTTCTTTTCATGCACTTACTTAATCTGAGGCAATTCTATATGATCAGATGAAGAAACTGAGAGAGGTTAAGTGTCTTGTTGCTAGTAAATGACATAATTAGGATTAAAACCAAAACAATCTGTTTCCAGAGCCTGTGGACTTAACAATTATGCCATACTGATTCTTCTGTGCATATTGTCTTTAGCCTATATTGTATAGTCATATCATGAACAATCTTGATGTCGTTAAATACCTTTTTTCAACATTTTAAATGAAAGCTGACCTTTTTCTCGTAAAAATTCAAACATTGAAAAGTACACAGAAAAAAAATTAAAATATCTATATATTTACTATTGGATTTAACAAATCTTAATTTTCAGCATATTTGCTTCAGAATTCCCCCTTTAAAAAAACTGTATTATGTATAATGAAATTATACCAATAAAAATATGAAAAAACTATAGATTTAGTAAGGCTTAAGATTTTAAGGTTTGATTTTACATAAAATTATGCCTTATCAGTTTTAAAGGAAATCACTATTTTCCCTAATAAAAATAGGAGATTTTTTTAAACTTGGTAGTGGAGAAAAAATTTCTATGTAGTGAACATCTGGATAATATTGCTATTATCATGTCATCCCTGTGGATGGTCCTTTCCCTTTAGCACTCTGGCCCAAGCATGAACAAAACTCTTCCCTCACAGGACTTTATTAATTACTTGGTGATAAAGGTAATAAACCTAGTTAATGTGACTTGTATGACTTACTCAGTTTTCAGCCTACTTAGCTTACCTCTGTAAGATGAAGGTCAAATTCCATGAATAAAGTGTCAGAACTTCCCAATAGAACCATCTTCAAGCCAGATATATTGGCTCACGCTTTAATCCCAGCAACTGGGAAGGCTAGGTCAGCTAGACCCCATCTCAAGATAAAAAGTGAAGAAAAGCCTGGGGATGTAGCTCAGTAGTATAGAGCTTGCCTAGTATGTGTGAGGTTCTGAGTTTAATCCCTAATACCAGAAAACAAAATCAAAAAACCTCTCCATAGTGATACAAATGATAGAAATTATAAATTATAATTGTCTAATATAGCACCCTCTAGCCACCTGAAATGTGGTGAGTACAACTAAGGATTATTAACCAGCTAAATTTTATTTAGTTAAATTTAGCTGGTGGTGGCTAGCAGCTACCATATTGAATAGCCCAGATCTTGGGTTTACAAAGTCCTGGGCTGGGGTTGTGGCTCAGTGGCAGAAGGCTTACCTCACACCTGTGAGGTGCTAGGTTTGATCCTCAGCACCATATAAAAATGAATAAACAGATATTGTGTCCATGTATAAATTAAAAATATTTTTTAAAAAATTTTAAAAAAATTATGAGTCCAATGGGGCTGGAGGTTTAGCTCAGTGATAGAGCATATGTTTAGCAAGTGCAAGGCCCTGAGTTCAGTCTCCAACATAAAAAATAATGCTGAGTCCCAGAATCTCAATTGAGTTCCTGGCTCTGGTATGGATTGGAAGATAAGGGCTGACTACAAAAGAGAACAAGGCAACTTTTGGGGGAGGATGGAAATATTTCTTATCTTGATTATGGTGGTATGGTAGACATTTATACATTTTTCAAAGCTCAGCAGATTGTTCTTTTAAAATGGATGCATTTTGTTTTATCTAAATTATTCCTTAATAAAATTGATTTTAAAAAGTGAAAACAGGGCTAGAATTGTAGATCAGTGGTAGAGCACTTGCCTAGCATGTGTGAGGCACTGGGTTCAATCCTCAGCACTACATAAAAATAAGTAAACAAAGGTATTGTGTTCATCTACAACTAAAAAAAATATTAAAAATAAGTGAAAACAAAGAAGAGGAAAGATTGATTAACATGTACTTCTAAGTTTAGTCCTTTACACAGTAGAGTGACTATAGATAATGTAGATAAAGAAATGATTAATGTTTTAGGAGAGATTATGTTTATCCTGATTTGAATATTATATAATATATACAAAGTATCAAAACATCATGTGATCTTCTCTAAACAGATAAAATTTTTATGTATCAGTTAACATTTTTTTTTTTAAAGGCTAAGTTCCAGAGCTAGGAGTTCCACCTCCAGTCTGTTAAGGCATGCCTCTTGCTATCCAATTTCTTATCTAAGGGCCAAAAATGCCCTGCCTACAACATGTAGGACCCTGTATGATCTGGCCCCTGGCTACTTCTCTGATGTTTCCCTGGCTCATGTGGTTGAGACATTGACCTCCTTGTTAGTCTTCAAACACTCCCAAGTGTGTTCCTATCTCCAAGGCTCCATACGCTCTCTGCTGCCTAGAAAATTCTTTCCAGATAGAATTCATGAAGGTGTCTGTGCCAATCTCAGCTCCAGTGAGATGTTTTCCTCACCAATCTCTCTGAAACAACACTTCCATCTTTTTCTCCATTCTTGTTTTTTAATATTTTATTTTTTTAGTTGTACACAACACCTTTATTTTGTTTATTTGTTTTTATGTAGTGCTGAATATCGAACCCAGTGCCTCACACATGCTAGGCAAGTGCTCTACCACTGATCCACAATTCTAGCACTGTTTTCACTTTTTAAAATCAATTTTATTAAGCACA